GATATTCTATCCTGCTTTGTCGAAGATGAGTTGGCCGTATAGTTGTGGGTCCATTTCTGGGTTTTCTATTCTGTTCCACTGATCTATGTAAGAGACCACTTTCTAATCACCGAACTGAAGCCTTTTACTGAATATTTAGAAGGGGTATAAATCATTGTGTGAAACATTTCAGAGACTTAAAGATGAACTAAGAAATTATTATTTGTCATTATACACATTATACATACATCTTTTTATGGCTTCTCTAAGAGAAACTGCAGAAGTACTGATTTCTTTTACACATAAATTATCTTGAGTCTATAGCTGATCTGATGACAATTTCTTCACATCTTCTTGAACCAGAACTCTTCCCATTTGGTATCAAGGAAACTCATCCTTTATCAAAGATTTTTTTCAATTACCTTTGCCATAGGCTATCTTTTCCTATTAGTATTTTAAGAATCCCAAACAGTACATTCTTTTATTGATAACTTTTCAGTAGATATGGTTTCCTAAAAATGAACTCTTAAGTTTAACTCAGGAGAGTAAATCTGTCTCCTAATATATACACTCATTACTTTGATCAATATCCCTTCACACTGTTTGCTTTAAAATTTTTAAAAGTAGTTTTATTGAGGTATAGTTGATACACAAAGAACTACACATATTTAATGTGGATGTGTTTAATTTTTTGGACTTGGTATCTTGCATGAAGAAAAAGCAGATTTTTCACCAGAAAAATTCAATTCATGATCACAGCTATACTGTCACATGTAACTGAAAAAACTGATACAGCCCACTCATTTATCACTAGCCTTCTAATTCAGTTTAAAATGATCTCTGAGGGGACGCCTGGATGGCTCAGTCGGTTGAGCGTCTGCCTTCAGCTCAGGTCATGATCCCAGGGTCCTGGGATTGAGTCCCACATCGGGCTCCTTGCTCAGCAGGGAGCCTGCTTCTCCCTCTGCCTGCTGCTCCCCCAGCTTGTGCTCTAACAAATAAAAATTTTTTAAAAATAAAATGAAATAAAATGATCTATGGGTTGCACAGTATCAACTAGTTGTACAGTCTCACCAAGGATCTTAGCCTATTTCTGCTTCAAACAGCCTAATATCTCTTCTAGAATGGATGTGGGGGAAGAATGTCTGTTGATGGGTTACATTTCAACTTTAGGTTCTATGAAATAGTGAAGCTGCAACTTTTAAATTATAGATGAACACTTCATCTTATTAGATTAAGTGAACCCACCATTCTTAACACATAGGAAGATAAGCCCAATTCTTGACGTAACTTCATTACTGGAACCAGCACAAAAATAAACATCCAAATCCACTGCCTGGTTACTCTAAAAAAATCAACAAATATCCTAATTATCAATCCCAAATTAGCAACAAATTATCCTAAAGCTAAAATTGACATCTTACATTAAATACATTACATTAGGGGCGCCTGGGTGGCTCAGGTCATGATCCTGGGGTCCTGAATTGAGACCCGCATCGGGCTCCCCACTCAGTGGGGAGTCTGCTTCTCCCTCTCCCTCTGCTTGTACACTTTCTCTCTAAGAAATAAATAAATAAAAATCTTAAAAACAATACATTATGTTAGCTTAAACTCTCATGTGGCCAAAACCAAATAACTCTAGCTTTCAGGTTTTGATGATCCATTCTCCAGTTAAATCATCCTAGCAATCCTAAAGGAGTAAATAGGTCCTTTAAATAAGAAATTTCACAGGACACTTGTTTAGGTTTTACTATGGTTCAGAAAGAGAAAAACTGGGGCGCCTGGGTGGCTCGGTCTGTTAAGTGTCTGCCTTCGGCTTAGGTCATGATCCCAGAGTTCTAGCATCTCTAGCATCGAGCTCTGCAGCAGGTTCCCTACTCAGCGGGGAATCTGCTTCTCCCTCTGTCCCTCACCCCGCTTGTGCTCTCTCTCTCTCAAATAAATACATAAAATCTTTTTTAAAAATTTCCCATGTCATTATAAACCATTTAAAAAAAGAGAGAGAAAAATTAACACTCAAAAACTGTCCCATCCAAAACAATGGTTCCTCCATCTTTTATGACCCCAAACAGGGGCTTCTCAACCAATAATGTGTCTAGGGAGATCCTTTGCCCCTTCTGCCATGTGAGGACACAGCCAAAAGTCTGTGATCTATAAGAAAACCCTCACCTGACCATCCTCGCACCCTTATCTCAGAATTCCAGCCTTCAAAACAGTAAGCAATACATTTCTGCTGTTTATAAATCATCCATCACCTAATCCCCCTAGGGGAAGGGGATCAACTGATAGAAGCCAGTTATAAAATAAGTCATGGGGATGTAACATACAGCAAAGGGAATACAGTCAATAACACTGTAATGACTCTGTAGGGTAACAGATAGTAACTAGACCTATCGAGGTGATCATTTCATAATATATAAAAATACTGAGGGGTGCCTGGGTGGCTCAGTTGGCTGAGTGCCCAACTCTTGATTTTGGCTCAGATCATGATCTTAGAGTCATGGGCTCTGCACTCAGCACAGAGTCTGCCCACTAGAGATTGCCTCCCTCTCCTTCTCCTCCCCTGCTCATGCGCTCTCTAAAATAAATAAATAAAATATTTTAAAAAATACTGAATCGCTGTCATGCACCTGAAACTAATATAATATTGTGCATCAATTATAATTCAATTTTTAAGTAAGTTTAAAAAAGAATGTACTTAAGCACTTAAGTTTTTTTAAAGATTACTTATTTATTTAAGAGACAGTGAGTGAAACATAGAGCACATGAGCAGGGGCGGAGGGAGAGGGAGAAGCAGACTCCCCTACTGAGCAGGAAATGCGACGCAGGGCTCAATCCCAGGACCCTGGGACCATGACCTGAGCCAAAGGCAAACGCTTAACTGACTGAGCCACCCAGGCGCCCCTAAGTTTTTTAAATTAACTTTCATAAAAACTTTAGAGTAGTTTTACTTCCACTCACAGGTCAACCCATTAGACAACCAGGAGAACATACAAATCATTATTACTTTTCCCAACAGAATGTCAAGTGTGCTGACATTAAAAGCTTTTTATATCAACAATGTAAAAAAAAGGCTACCATTAATTACCTATTATGAACCAGGTGGTTTATATGTTATCACTAGTCCTCACCACAATCTTTCAAATTATATATTATTGTCCCAATTTTGCTGAAGCTGATAGACATTAAATAAGTTGTCAAAGGTCACAAAATTAGTAGTTACCTTATTTTGAAGCTACTTTTCTATGAAACTACGTCTGAGAAACCAATAGCAGATAATCCCCAGAGCACATACATTTGTTCATTCACTCACTTAACAAAATAATGAAGCCTATTTAGCTCACCTGGAATCATTAGTTGAGATCACTGATTCTTGAGATTCAGCTGAAGGGTCATGATTGTTCATTGCCCTAACTTAATGATTTGTCTCTAAATCAGGTTAAGTGAACAGAAGTCAGCATAACTGAACTATAGCAGGTTTCCCAAATAATTTCTATTGTGTGTTATGTCTTTCATTTTGAATTGACCACCATGTGAGAACTGGCCTGTGATAAACATTTTGATAGCTTTTACAAAACAGGAGGTCATACTGCCCACTAATCCCAGTGATATCACTTAGAAAGCTCTACTTATTAAGTTCCATTGGAACTTAATTGAAACTCAAAAACTTCCTTTTTAAAAAATCAGACAAATAGAACCATACTATGTTTCCTTTTTGTACTAGTTGTCACAAAACATAAAGTGACATGTCAATTCATTAGCAGTAACTGCCTCATTTTAGGGCTATTTAATTACCTTTCTTTCTCAAATGATTTCTAATCTTTATAATTCTAGATATTAACTATTGGATTTTTGAAAGGAGATTGGTAACAAAGAGAAAATAATAAAGATGCTATGATTCCCTACCCATTTACAGAATTCACCCAAAGATCTAAACTTCTTACAGGTTTCAGCAATGCTTTCCCAAGAATAATATGAATTAGCATTCAATTTAGGTTCAACATTATACAATAAGCATTAGGTTCTCAAAAAACACTTAGAATCTGAGCACTTTTCATAATTTTTTCTATGTGTGAAAGTTATGGAAACTTACATAAGAAGAGAGACTACTGCAAATGCACCACATTACCAAAAAGGCATTCAAAACACAATTTGTTAACTGTTTCACAAAGTCATCATCAAGATCATTGGTATGGGTAAACTAAAGAACTATCTCCCCTGGAAACACATACATACATTGAATTCCTAAAAAACAACAATGGGGATGAAAAATAAACAATCTCTTCAGTTTTTCTTCATGACAACACTTACACTGTTTGCATATATTTTTTTAAGATTTTACTTTTAGGTAATCTCTACACCCAACACGGGGCTTGAACTTACAACCCCAGATCAAGAGCATGCTACTCTTAGTCACTAAGCCAGTGGGGCACCTCTGTTTGCATATTTCAATGACAAAGTTTTAAGCATGTAGAAAATAAACTCGGTATATTTGGAAGTTCAAGAATTGTGTGAAACCATGAAATGACTTAGGACCTAAGAAAGTATAAATTTATGCACCCCTAATGACCATAATTACTTCACTTTAAAAGAAACTAAATGCACTTTATGAATTTGTTAGCAACTTCATGTGTAGTTAGAAACCCCTCTACTCATAAAAGTTTATTTGAAATTGCATTTATACTTTTCATAAATTAGAGTGAATCCCTCTATAAGAATTTGGGTTTTTAATGGATAAATTGGCATCAGATGTTCAACATAAAAATGTGCGGCCAAGGGTAAATAAAGACCAATTAAAAGAAGGTACACCTGGTTAATTAAATTAGAAAAAATAGAGTATTTAAAAAGTACCAAAGTGGTTATAAATTTATATATATATATATAAAATACATAAACATTGTTATAAATAAGGCATGAGAGAAGACCTCCAAGCTGTCCTTGGTGTCTACCACACATATATAAATTTTTTGGTGTCTGCTTTCTAAATTCGAAATACACGCTACCCAAGAGAGATATTTTGTTCAAAACCCAGAGAAGAATATTTGATATGTACTCACCTGAATTAATGCATGACTATCTTTAGAGAATGCTGAACTACCTGACAGCAAAAGAGGCTCGCTTTTCCCACAGCTCTCCTGGCTGAGGAGCGTGTCCGCGTAGTTGGGCTGGGGGAAGATCACGTGACTCTCGCACGAGTCCGCGGTCAGGGAGACCTCGTGGGAATAGGTCTGCAGGAAAGCCCGCACCCCGTCCACGCCCACAAAGTGCGAGGCCGGCATGCCCACCAGCCCGCCTCCCGAAGCCTGGAGCAGACGCGACGCGTGCCAGCGCCTCAGCCTGAGCGCCAGCAGCACGATGACAAAGGCCAGGAAGACGCACGAGACTGCCGCCACCGCCACCACCAGATACAGCGTGAGGTCCGAATCGTCTGGGTCGGCGGGGGTCCTCATGCTGCCCAGGTCGGCCAGGACGGCTGGGATGCTGTCGGCCACGGCCACGGTGAGCGTGACGGTGGCCGAGAGAGGGGGCTGGCCGTGGTCCTGCACCGCCACCACCAGGCTCTGCTTGAGCGCGTCTCTGTCCAGCAGGGCCCGCGCCGTGCGCACCTCGCCCGTGTGCA